AAGACAGAAAAAACCAATGGCGGTGGCCATGGCGACGACAACGATGACCACGACGACGACGACGACGAGGAGAGCGAGCTGTTGTTTCCACCTTCCAATGTCTTGGTTTGGTTCCGCTGCCCCCCCCCCACAGGCCCGACTGCCCTCCCCCCACCCCTCACCGCCACCCCCGCTCCTTCTGAAAAGTCTTCATCTGCAGTTTCGCCAGGCGCTCGAGCGGCAGGCCCTAACCCCCCCACCGCCCCCACGTTATAGAGACGTCTCCACGCTGTGCAGGGGGCTCCCGGGACTGGAGGAGGTGGTCGACTTGCTGGCGTCTGTGGGGGTCAGGTAGATGCCGCTGTCGATGGCGTTGTTGTTCCTGTTGGGGGAGGCGGGGAGGCTGTACTGGCGGTAGGGGCGCGGAGGGTGACGGGAGTGGGGGTGCGTGGGCGCGGGCGCGGGCGGGGGCTGCGGCGGGCGGAGGACGAGCTGGATGTGGTTGTGCTTGGAGGCCAGTTCCGACTCCTCGTCGATGTCGGTGTCGTCGATCAGGGGGATGTTGTGGATGTAGTCGTTGATGATGAACTCGGGATGGGCCATAAAGTTGTGGATGGAGTTCCTGGACTCCGGCTTCTCGAGCCCGTCGTACAGGGAGCTACGGAAGGCCTTCACCACTCGGATCTGCAGGGAGATGGGGCGAGAAGATAGGGGAAGAGTGGGAAGGGAGGAGATAGGGGAGGTGGGAAAGGTTTAGTTGGGGCATTTTTAGACTTTGTGGATGACCTGCAAAGCACGGATGTGCACGCTCCCAAGATCAGGTCACAACAGCCGGACAACATTGTGGAACAAAGCGCTGTCTGGAATGGTACTGAGGAAGAAAGTCCCAATTAGACCTTATCAGAACAGTATGGTAGCATAGTAACACTGTACGTAACCTTTTCAGCTTTGGCGTTTATCATTTGGACTATAGCACTCTAGCTCAGGGCTGTCCAAGGTCTGCAGATGCTCCAGATCACTTTAGAACTGCAGTATGATCATCTCCCAGACTGTTATTTTTTGTTAAAACGCTGAGAATTCACGTAAACTGACCCAGTCACTCTCTCAAAATAGACTTTTACTATCAATGCGGGCTTTGTTGAGTGACAATTTGAACAAAGTCTTTGGTTCATTTGCAGTTTGGAGGACACTCATCAAAGCTTCAGCTCATAGCCTTCAAACGGAAATGCATGTGGATACTCATCGTTAGGGAAGGTCTAACTATGGGGTATTTTCCTTCTGCTCAATTTTTCTTTAATGTTTGCAAGTACTGTTTGGCACAGTAATGGCCCACTGACAAAAGAAGACTGTCATTTTAATTTTCTTGAGGTTTCATTTAAGAATCTAGAGGACAATCTCTAAAGGAAAATCTACATTGAGTTATGGAACTCTGTATAACTTGAGCCCAAATGTTAATGTTTATACAATATCTATGATCCATAACCATGATTCACTTAGTTAGAGATGATCAGAGCCAATCACGTCTTTTTTCTGTTGAACAGAGTTGAAATTATAAACCTGAATTTAAATTAAGGTTAGATAAAGGCACACCCAGCTGCCCTTTCTCAAACTCCGAATCCTTTTGTCAGCTGACGTACTGTGATGATGTCGGAGGAATCCAGATTCGAAAGGGCCCTTTTCTTCCCAGTCACACCTCCTCGTGACCTGATCTTCCGAGTTCTCACAGAAGGAGAGGGAAAGCAATCAGGAACGAATGGAAAAAACGACCAAAAGAACCCAAACAAAACCAACCAACCAAACAAACAAACAAACAAACAAACGAACAGAACAGTCATGAAAACTAACCCAAAGGAAAGGGCACGACTTTTGTCAGTTCACCACAAAGGAACGACAGAGACGAGACGGTGTACATTCAAGGAGCTCAGGGGGAGGGGGGGAACTCAGGAGGGCAAATGTCAACACTGAACGGCCGATACATGATCACTCCATATGTATATATATACACACATACATATATTAAAGAAAAAAAGGAATTGTGCGAGTTAGAATCTGCGACACAATGCTAGAAAAAAGAAGCAAAAAGGACACACACGGAATGAGGTATTGACTGTCCCGCCCCAGCTTTAGGACCTGAAAGTGCGACATGGTCGTGAGGAGTCGCACAAAGTGTCAGAAACACCCATTGTCCACTTGTGTGGGGTTGATGGAGGCAGACGCAGAACAGAAGAGGAAGCTATCAAAGCAATGAGAGGACAGGCCTCTCATCTGGTTTCACTGTGCAATCATTCTGGCATGCGACAGCAAGCAGTCAGAGTGCAGAGAACAGAAAGAGAAGAAGCAAAACCGATCAACTCAAAGGCAGATTGTTAGCGGTGCTGCTGAGTCAGCGTGGAAAGGAAAAGAAACCACAGAGCGAGCTTCTGCTAATGGGCTTTCTTCAACTCACAACTTTATCACCAGCGAGAACAATAAAACCAAACATGAAAGAAAATCCAGTACAGCAGGAAAAAACAGTGGCAAGTGACTATGGTTTTGGGGCTTTTCCCAGTTAACGGTATGTCTGGGAGTTCCATCTACATGTCAGCTGAAGTGAACCCATGTTAGGATATTGTCATGTGCAATTGAGGCTCTGGGCTCTCACTGTGAGCCACAACATGGGAAATACACCACACCTCTTCACTTTAATGCTACTGTCTTCTCAAGTCAGTTTCATTTTTTTAATGCCTGTGTCTGGTGTGGTAGCAGGCAGTCAAACGCGTTAGGTTTTAAGCGTATGGCAAAAGTGCAGATCTGCCTCGGCATTCAGAGTGATATGCCCTGTCCTTACATGGCTTTGTTGTTAACTCACTTCCAGGGCTAACTGAAGGACAGCCTGTGTAACTTTACATTTGGCAGCGTGAAAGCCCCGCCGTCTTTAAAACGAGCCGGCGTAGAAGCAGTGAATAACTGACGGAGCGGGAGTGGAAGTGGAAACATTCGATAGAGCTCGAGTATAACGCCCATCCAGGAAGTGGGCGGCGACGTTTACCAGCTGAAAGAGCAAAGACAGGAAGTGGCCGCCGCCCGTGGATCGAATCGGACTCTTAAACAGCTGACGCCCCTGAATTAAACTTGCCCTCTTCACAGTGGGTCGCCCCAGAGCTTGCAGTAGAGGAGAGTCGAAAAGCGCTTTGTGGTCTACCCTAAGAACATGGACAGCCCCAAAAAATGGCAGCTGGTGAGCAGTGCTCAGAGAGCAGGGAGCGAACTGAGAAGAAAACCAGGAAACGAAAAGGGCTGGAAATACAGTGGGGTTTAAGGCACTAGCCCTGCATGTAGTATTGTTTTTTCCTTTGTTTTGTCTTTTAAGTCCTCACAACACATTCGGAGTCTTTTTAATTAAAAAAAAAGGCAGTAGCACTGTCCTTCCAAACGTCTGATTCCTTTTACACTTTCCTAAAAAAAAAGGAAATAAAGGGAGCCCCAAAACAACACCTGCAATTTCCTGTCCCCAGCAGGAAAGGGACTAACAGAAAAGCCCCAAACCGCCCCACAAAACAAAAAAAAGACAGAAAGAAATGGCCCAAAATCAAGCACTGAGTGAGTTATGAGGAAAGAAACATGCACCCGTGCTCAGTTGCAAATGAGAGAAGCATGTGTAAAAGTTGATGGAGGTTTTTGGAGGGTTCAAAAGAGAAAGAGGGGAAAAAAGAAAGAGGGGCCTCCCGCGCCTTGCTGGTGCCTCGTTTTTAATTTGTGCACATACAAGCTTCATGCTGTAAAGATAAATCAACACATATATACAAATGCATGTATATATAAACAGAAATCATAAAGGTCCAAATAAAACATTCTGCAGCAATGGTGCTTTCTGCCTTTTGCTCTTGAGCAGTCTCCCTCACCCCCCTCCCCTGAACCCCTGAACCCCATTAACCGCAAAGGAAAAGAAGCCAATGAGCCCAAAGAAATCAAATTGGAACACAAGCAAACAGGAGGAACAGGTCAAGCTTTTGGCTGTGCGCTCATTTGTTTTTCCAAAGAGCCTGTTTGTCACAATAAGAAAGCTTCATGCATTCTTCTTCTTTTCTTTTCTTTTCTTTTTGGGTGCTGTAAACATTCGAGTATAACGCCCGTGGTTGTAATGTGATCTGCAAAAACCTGGATGCGAAAATCAGGTACTTTTTGGGGGGGTGGGGGGGTTCTCTCTTTTAGTGTGTTTGTTTTGCATTGTTTCCTTTTTTTGGGAACGCCAAATCGCCTCGGCCTCTCCTCAGTCCCGGGCCTTTTCAGGAAGAAGCTTGATGGAAAAACTAAATTAAAAAAATAAATTAACCCTTCACACTGCGCCGCCCCCCCCAAAACAAAACACATACACACACATACTTCTTGCCCCATTCCTCTCCCCCTGCCAGCCTTCTCCCCCTCCAAAAATAGAAACAAAAAAAAACAGAACAAAACTGGCTCCATAAAAAGCACCAAAACAGAAGAAGGAAGAAGCAGGAGGAAGAGGCAGGGCAGTGGTTAGAGACGGCTGCGATGGAAAAGCAGTGTTAATGACCTCCCACTCCTCATTCCCAAGTTAATCCACTTTCTAACGCTTTCTTCCAGCTTCGACAGCCGGAAGTCTGCCCACAACCTGCCCGAGTGGGAGGAAACAAAAACCTGGAACATGGAGACGGAGGTGAGGAGGAACTAGAAGAGCTAGGGGGAGAAAGCCGACAGGGAGTCTTGGGATCTCTTGACCCAAACCCTGGTCCTTGACTGCCTTCCTGCCATCTCTCCTGCTCTCCATCGCTAGATGTAGCTTCAAGAATCGAGCTATGAAATAATACCACTGCGTTTGGATCAGCGTTACTAAGCCAGCCTGAAAAGGTAATGCCAAGTGCAGTGTTTGGGCTAAAATTCTGTTTGCGGAGCTTGGACCAGATGTCCGAATGGAATTTATCTGTCTGATGGTATTTGAAAGTGGCAGGAGATGTCAAGGCCCAATGCCAGAAGTGCCAGCCTCAAGGTGATGCCTGCTGTATCTCCATACAGTACCTATCTACTGTATGCCCATGACACCTAAGAAAGAAAACCAAGAGCATCCAGGGAGCTAATCCAAATTACAGCACCAGTCATCAGAAAAAAAAAGATCAGCCTGTTCCTAGGATAAGAAGGTTTTTCCCAATTTCTTTCCATCTCCATGTACTCACTGTGTGGGGAAGTTGCGTTCTTGTAGAGCGGTACTTTAGAAATACCTTCCATGAATATATAACTCAAATAATACCAGACAAGAATGCTGCTTCCCATGCAATAATGCAGTCAGGTCAACCAAAATCCATGAACAACCTAATATGTCTCCAGTTTCATTACAATTTAGGATGGTAGGTTATTATTTGCTTTCCATTTTGGACAACTGGGACCGATATTTTGTTTCTCTATAGCACTAATTGTTTTTCCCTTGAATGTTATATCAGTAACTAATATTAAACACATTAACTTTCTTTTTCTTCTTATCTGAACCTTACTTTCTCCAAACACTATAAAACATAATCATGTAGGGCACACTGTAGTCCCTAACTGAAAGCTAAAAACAGACAAACTACTGTATCTTGCTATCAAAGTTGGTGGATCAGGAATGCTGTACTTAAAAATTAAAACTTTGGGGGGAAACAGACAATCAGCTATTTAAGACAAACTATAATTGGATTCTGTCCAGCTTT